CTGGAGACGAGCCTCGCGGATCCAGTCGATCAGCACCTCAGTGACCGCACCCTTGCTGCGCAAGGGGAGGACTGTGGTGTAACGCGAGTAGTCGTCAACCACCAACAGGAAGTAGCGCTCGTGACCCTGCCCACGGACGGGGGCTGGTCCCCACACATCCATGTGAAGCGTCTGCAGGGGAGCCTCTGTCGGGGGGAAGTGGGAGGAGTGAGGAGTAGCCCGGAGGCGACCCTCGACACAGGGGACATAGGAAGGTCCTGGCCCGGAGGGGAGAGGAGGGAGAGACTGGGGAAGACCAGAGACAAGGATTTGGGAAGCCATGCTCCGAAGACGGGGCAAGGAGGGGTGGCCAAGACGGTGGTGCCACAGGAGAGTCTCGTGAGACAGGAGGCGACAAGAACAGGGGGCAGACTCAGGACCTGACCGGGACGCAGCAGCAAGCACCTGACCTGACGCAGCCACCTGACCAGACGCAGGGACAGGAGGAGACTCAACGGTCAGGGTGTAGAGACTCGACCCCGGCCGCCGCGAGAACGTGGCCAGGTGTCGGCCTGTGCGTGCCTCCGTGCAGTGGGTCACCCGCTGACTCGCAGGAGTGAACTGGTGAACCCCCACATCCTGCATGTCCGCGCCACTCACCAAGTTCGTAGAGAACGAGGGAAGGTACAGAGCAGACAGGGTGCCCGAAGGGGCAGCCGGACACAGGAGGACAGTGGAGAAGTGAGACAGGACAGGACCCCCAAAGGGGTCAGCAAGGGAGACTGCAACCGGCCGGCCGAGCGGCGTAAGGGTAGTGCGGTCTCGAAAGAAGGAGCGAGAAGCCCCGGAGTCAAGTGTGAAAGTGAGGGAGGACGAGGACGACGCAGTACCTGAGAGCGCAGTCTCACCAGTACCTGAGAGCGCAGACGCACTGGCACCTAGAACAGCAGCCTCACAAGCACCTAGCGCAGCAGTACCAATGCCCGGGTCGGGCTGGAAACACCGGTAACCCTCATTCTCCTCACTATAAGTCACAGCATACATAGCAGCAAGGATAGCATCAAAATCAAGATCAAAGATCGCTACACCAGCACTAAGAAGCTCATCCCAGCGAGGGATCTCACTAGCCCCAGGGAACTGCTGACGCCAAGCGTCCGTCAGGCGGCCAAAGCAGCGCTGGGTGGCGTGGGCACCCCCACACTGCTCACCCGCGCGGTCGCCGGAACGAAGAACGTAGGTGCAGGGACCAGTACCCCCACCCCTCTGACGCCCAGCGTACCACTCACGAAGCTGCTGAGGCGGAGGGATGTCCCGCGAGCGCTGCTGCTGCTGCCGCTGCGAGCGCTGGCCACCACCACCGCCGCTACGCTGCTGGGTACCACCCCGACCAGCTCCACCTCCTCCACCACCACCGCCTCCTCCGCTGCCGCCTCCACCGCCTCCACCTCCGCCGCCTCCACCTCCGCCGCTGCCTCCACCACCACCGCTGGCACCGCCACCACCGTCTCCGCCGCTGCTGCCACCACCACCACCACCCCCGCCACTAGTCCCGCCGCCACCCCCACTCCCTCCGCCGCCACCGCCGCCACCGCCACCGCCCCCTCCAGCTCCACCCGCGCCCTTGCCCCCCTTGCCCTTGCTGGAGCGACGTCTCCCACTAGGGGCAGACGCCGCGCCGACCGACTCAAGACCAAGCAGGTCGGCAGCAGCAGCAGAGGCAACAGAGGGCAGCAAGGGGGAAGGAGAGCACCCCTCAAAGATGGGGGTGCGAGGGTCACCACGAGAAGCACCTACAGCGACTATGCTCTTCTCCGCTGCGAGTAGGGCCTTCTCGAGGAGGTCGACAGTGAGGGTGGTGGGACAGACTGCGAGAAAGTGGTCCCTGACGACGCGAAGGGAGTCAGGGAGGCGCGCGACTACGTAGTAGAGAGCGATGTACATGGGGGGTGGGTTCTTAGCACAGAACTCAGCAGCAAGGGCGGCGCGGTAGCGAGTGTCACTAGTGCGGAGGTGCGTAATGAGGTCAGCGACAGTGGGAAAGGCAGAGAGGTCAGGAAAGAGGTAGGGAAGCATGAGACGGTTCAGTGCAGCAGTGGCAGGGGAGGAGTAGCGCGCAACTACAGCGTCGTACAAGGTCTGAGCACTCTTGTACTGACTAAAGTGCGCACGCTCAGAGGCAGGGAGGTGGCGACGCATAGCAAGACGTGCAGCAGCATCGCGGGTGGCCCACTGAGAGCGGACAGTGGGATCAGCATCAGCAGCAGGAGCAAGAGAGGCGCCAGAGGTGAGGTCAAAGAGAGAAAGACTGTCAGCCCTGTCGCACTGTAAGAACAGCTGCAGGTCATCTAACCAGACCTCAAAATCAATGGCGCGACCCTCAGCGTCAAAAGCGAGGACACTAGGGGTAGCCATGGCGACGACAGCGACGCAGTGCTAGCAGTAGGGAAAGAGCTCGCAGTGACAGTGGGACTGTGCTCACCAGGCAGGGCAGGTCGTGCAGCTCTGCAGAAAGGCGGCTCGGCGACCGGGCGGCTCGGGTGCACAGCGGCTCGGTTCCCAGGCTGCTCGGCGGCTGGGCGGCTCGGGTGCAGGGCGGCTCGGCTCTCGGGCGGCTCGGCGGCTGGGCGGCTCGGGTGCAGTGCGGCTCGGCTCCCGGGCGGCTCGGCGGCAGGGCGGCTCGGGTGCAGGGCGGCTCGGCTCCCGGGCGGCTTGGCGGCAGGGCGGCTCGGGGGCAGGGCGGCTCGGCTCCCGGGGGGGGGGCTCGGCGACAGGGCGGCTCGGCTGCTGCAGGTGAGGCGGCAGGGCCGCGTGAAAGAACCGGGGCGGGGCCGCGTCAGAGCCGGCGGCAGGGTCGCGTGAGAGCAGAGGCGGGGCCGCTTCAGAGCTGGCGGGCCGCAAGGGTGGGCGGGGCCGCGGTGGCGACGGGGCCGAAGTGGGGCCTAAGTGGGGCCGTAGAGGGGCCGACGGGGCCGAAGTGGGGCCGTAGCGGGGCCGCAACGGTTCCTAAGCGGGGCCGTAGCGGGGCCGACGGGGCCTAAGCGGGGCCGTAGCGGGGCCGACGGGGCCGACGGGGCCGTAGCGGGGCCGTAGCGGGGCCTAAGCGGGGCCGACGGGGCCGTAGCGGGGCCGTAGCGGGGCCGTAGCGGGGCCGTAGCGGGGCCGTAGCGGGGCCGTAGCGGGGCCTAAGCGGGGCCGACGGGGCCATAGCGGGGCCGTAGCGGGGCCTAAGCAGGGCCATAGCGGGGCCGACGGGGCCGACGGGGCCGTAGCGGGGCCGTAGCGAGGCCTAAGCGGGGCCGACGGGGCCGACGGGGCCGTAGCGGGGCCGTAGCGGGGCCGCAGCGGGGCCTAAGCGGGGCCGACGACGCCGTAGCGAGGCCGTAGCGGGGTCGTAGCGGGGCCTAAGCGTGGCCGTAGCGGGGCCGACGGGGCCTAAGCGGGGCCGTAGCGGGGCCTAAGCGAGGCCGTAGAGGGCGGCTCGAGGGGCAGTAAGGGAGGCCAAAAGAGGCCACTAAGCAACTCGAGGCGCTACTCGGGTTAGGAGCTAGGCACGCTCCGGGCAGGGAAGGAAAAAAAAGTTCGTGGTGGGCCCTAGGCAGTATTCCCACTCGGGAACCTGCTCGATACCATGACGAGAAGTGAGAATGGAATGAATGAACTATGAAACAGTTGGGTACAAGTACTAACCCTAATTGGGTTGTACCCCTTATGGGCTACCCCACTACAGCCTACACAAATGTATAAGCTATAATGTTCTGACATGTCGTCCAGGTATACGATGGCGCACTTATCTAAAAGCGGGCGGAAAGCTTCGTTCATGGTGATTTGAAAAGTGGCGGGGGCGTTGGTAAGTCCGAAGGGCATGACAGTGTATTCGAAGGATCCGTAGCGTGTTCGGAATGCTGTCTTAGGGCAGTCGGGTGGGTTGACGCGAATCTGGTGGTAGCCTCCTTGAAGGTCGATTTTCGAGAATACCCGGGCTGTGCGCAGTTGGCCGATCAGCTCGTCGGCTCGCGGGATCGGGTAACGGGACTTGATGGTAACCCTGTTCAGTGCTCTGTAATCTATGCGCATGCAAAATCCCCCGTCTTTTTTCGGTGTGATCAGTATCAGTGCTGCGAAAGGCGACGAACTAGGGCGAATGAATTCCTTCTCGAGCAGGTAATCGAGCTGCTTCCTCAGTTCGTCCATTTCGGGCTGGGTCAGTCAGAACTGTCGCTGTACTGTTGGCTGTGCCCGCGGTTCTAACTCTATCATGTGGTCGTGCAGTCGCTGAGGTGGCAATCCCGTCGGTAAATCGTCCGGGAAAATGTCGCTATACTGCTTCAACAGTGCTGCCAGATCACTCGGTACGTCGGCCAGGAGTTTCTGTAAATCCCCTCCTTTGCCTGCTGTGTGAAGCAGTGAACGTGAATGAATGAACTAAGAATGAAGTGGGTACAAGTACTAACCTTAATTGGGTTGTACCCCCTATGGGATACTGTCAGAATATATTTGCTGTCTAGCCTGCAGTGGGGTACTCTGTAATGAGTACAACCAAATTTAGGGCAATGTACTTGTATCCCAACTCTTGCTAGTCACTTCACTTCCTTTCCAATTTCTCGACTCTCACCTAACCCACTCGAACTTACCTATCTCCTAGTGTGGGCCTAGGCTACTAAGCCTAGGCCCCACACCTAAGATTCTCACATGTTATCAGAGCCCGTTCTACCTTGGCCTGTGGGCCCCTATGCTTCCGCTGCAGTCCTTCTTCCCGCGCGGCGATTTTTTTTTTTAGGATTTCGGAGTTTTTCATCCCGCCGTGCGCTCGGGGCGCGCGGCGGTTTTCCCGTCCTTCGAAGCGCCCTCGGGGGGCCTGCGCGCTGCCCTCCCCGCTGCTTGTCGCGACGTCCGTGCGGGACCCGCGCGGCGCCGCCCTACTTGTCGCGACGTCCGTGCGGGACCCGCGGGGCGTCGCCCCTGCTCGTCGCGACGTCCGTGCGGGACCCGCGGGGCGTCGCCCCTGCTCGTCGCGACGCCCCATGCGGGACCCGCGGGGCGCCGTCAGTTCCTGCAGCAGCAGCTGCCGCCGCCCTGCAGCAGCAGCCGCCGCCAGGCCTACAGCAGCAGCCGCCGCCAGGGTCTGCAGCAGCAACCGCCGCCAGAGCCTGCTGCAGCAGCCGCCGCCAGGGTCTTCAACAGCAGCCGCCGCCAGGGTCTGCAGTAGCAGCCGCCGCCAGAGCCTGCAGCAGCAGCCGCCGCCAGAGCCTGCAGCAGCAGCCGCCGCCAGAGTCTACAGCAGCAGTCGCCGCCAGACCTGCAGCAGCTGCCGCCACCGACCCAGCAGCAGCAGCCGCCGCTCTATCAGCAGCAGCAGCCGCCGCCGCTCTGCCGCAGCAGCTACCGCCGCCCAGCTGCAGGTGCCGCCCCTGGACCCCAGAAGCCGCCCCTGGACCCGGTACGCCTTGTGCTGCCCGTGCCTGTGCTGCCCGTGCCTGTGCTGCCCGTGCCTGTGCTGCCCGTGCCTGTGCTGCCTGTGCCTGTTGCTGCCCGTGCCTGTTGCTGCCCGTGCCTGTGCTGCCCGTGCCTGTGCTGCCCGTGCCTGTGCTGCCCGTGCCTGTTGCTGCCCGTGCCTGTGCTGCCCGTGCCTGTGCTGCCCGTGCCTGTGCTGCCGTGCCTGTGCTGCCTGTGCCTGTTGCTGCCCGTGCCTGTTGCTGCCCGTGCATGTGCTGCCCGTGCCTGTGCTGCCCATGCCTGTGCTGCCCGTGCCTGTGCTGCCCGTGCCTGTGCTGCCCGTGCCTGTTGCTGCCCGTGCCTGTGCTGCCCGTGCCTGTTGCTGCCCGTGCCTGTGCTGCCCGTGCCTGTGCTGCCCGTGCCTGTGCTGCCCGTGCCTGTGCTGCCCGTGCCTGTGCTGCCCGTGCCTGTTGCTGCCCGTGCCTGTGCTGCCGGTGCCTGTGCTGCCCGTGCCTGTTGCTGCCCGTGCCTGTGCTGCCCGTGCCTGTGCTGCCCGTGCCTGTGCTGCCCGTGCCTGTGCTGCCTGTGCCTGTTGCTGCCCGTGCCTGTGCTGCCCGTGCCTGTGCTGCCCGTGCCTGTGCTGCCCGTGCCTGTGCTGCCCGTGCCTGTTGCTGCCCGTGCCTGTGCTGCCCGTGCCTGTGCTGCCCGTGCCTGTGCTGCCCGTGCCTGTTGCTGCCCGTGCCTGTGCTGCCCGTGCCTGTGCTGCCCGTGCCTGTGCTGCCCGTGCCTGTGCTGCCTGTGCCTGTTGCTGCCCGTGCCTGTCCTGCCCGTGCCTGTGCTGCCCGTGCCTGTGCTGCCCGTGCCTGTGCTGCCCGTGCCTGTTGCTGCCCGTGCCTGTGCTGCCCGTGCCTGTGCTGCCCGTGCCTGTGCTGCCCGTGCCTGTTGCTGCCTGTGCCTGTGCTGCCCGTGCCTGTGCTGCCCGTGCCTGTGCTGCCCGTGCCTGTGCTGCCTGTGCCTGTTGCTGCCCGTGCCTGTGCTGCCCGTGCCTGTGCTGTCCGTGCCTGTTGCTGCCCGTGCCTGTGCTGCCCGTGCCTGTGCTGCCCGTGCCTGTGCTGCCCGTGCCCGTGCTGCCCGTGCCTGTTGCTGCCCGTGCCTGTGCTGCCCGTGCCTGTGCTGCCCGTGCCTGTGCTGCCCGTGCTTGTGCTGCCTGTGCCTGTTGCTGCCCGTGCCTGTGCTGCCCGTGCCTGTGCTGCCCGTGCCTGTGCTGCCCGTGCCTGTTGCTGCCCGTGTCTTGTGCTCGCGCCCCCGTGCGCTCTGCTACTGTCTGCGCCCTCGTGCGCACTGTCCCCCCCCCCCCCCCCCGTTTGCGGGTGTGGGGGTGCTCCGTTTGTGTCGCCCCTTCCTTCTCCTCCTCCGTCGTCTCCCACTGCTGCAGCTGTCGCTGAGGGGGGGTGGTTGTGTGGGAGACTGGGGTTTAGGGTTTAAGGGGGGTGCGTGGGAGTGGAGCTAGGGGTGTAGCAGCGGGTGTGTGTCAGGGGGGTGGGACTGTTTGTGGGAGGTTGAGCGGAGGCTGCCGTCTTGTAGTCCGCAGCACCTGTAGTCCGGGGCGCTGTCCTGGTAGCCCAGTGAGCCTGCTGCGCCTGTCGCCCGTGGGTCCGTTGCTCCTGCCGCTCTTCGTAGCCGCCGAGCCAGTTACTCCAGTAGTCCGGGGCGCTGTCCCGGTAGCCACTGTGCCAGCCGCTCCTGTTGCCCGTGTGTCTGCAGCTTCAGCAGTCGCCTCCCATCTCCTCTCCTCTCACTCTCCCTCCTCCTCCTCACCTGCCCGTTGTGACCACCACTAGCTTTGCTGATAATTGTGCACTTTAACTATTGCTTCTTGAACTTGTGCTCAGAATGTGTGGTGACATTGTGATCCACCCTGAGCTTGTACTGCTTTGCCTGCTCTGCTGATTTCACCCCACTTTGGCTATGGGGGTGTGTCAGAATATATTTGCTGTCTAGCCTGCAGTGGGGTACTCTGTAATGAGTACAACCCAATTTAGGGCAATGTACTTGTATCCCAACTCTTGCTAGTCACTTCACTTCCTTTCCAATTTCTCGACTCTCACCTAACCCACTCGAACTTACCTATCTCCTAGTGTGGGCCTAGGCTACTAAGCCTAGGCCCCACACCTAAGATTCTTACAGATACCCCACTATAGCCTACACAAAAGCATAAGCTATAATGTTCTGACACACCCCCATAGGCAAAGTGGGGGAGAACAAGGGGTCACAAGACCAGTCAAGCAAAGCAAAGCAAAGCAAGCTCAGGGTGGATCACAACGTCACCACACAGTCTGAGCACAAGGTCAAGGCCACAAGGCCAGTTCACATGAAGGATGAGACATATATATATATAAGTCTAAACAAGCAAGAGCAGGTATATATATATGCAAGAGTACAAGTAAGATCAAGAGGTGAGCAAGTGAGGCAAGACTGGGACAAGTCCCAGCTGAGTGCAGAAACGCTGATGATCACAAGGCGGAAGTGCCTTGGTGAAAACATCAGCAGTGTTGGCCTCAGAGGCCACATACGCAAGTCGCAACTGACCACGCTGCTGCAGCTCACGAGCAAGAAAGTAGCGGAGAGCAATGTGCTTCGTTCTGTGCTCCAGGCGCTGCTCTCGTCACAAGGCCAGCATGGCCTTGTTGTCTACGTACAGCACTGGAGGAGAACGAGGCGGCTCTCCAAGGTCAGTCAGCAGGTAGGTGAGCCAGCGAAGCTCCTGAGCAGCCATGGCCCCCGCGTAGATCTCAGCCTCACAACTGGAGCCGAGAACAGAAGACGAGCGAGTAGCCCGCCACGAAACAGAGCCGGAACCAAGACTGAAGGTGTAACCCTGCGATGACCGCTGAGTAGCCTGGTCGTCAGCCCAAGAAGCGTCCGCGTGCCCAGTGAGGACCACTGGACTCCGCCCTCCAAGCACTAGCCCCATGCCCGACGTACTACACAAGTAGCACAACACCCTCTTCGCTGCAGCCATGTGCTCTGGTCTGTGTCTCCCAGGAGCAACATAGCGTGAATGCTAAGAGGGTATGCAAGGTCAGGTCGTGTGCAGGTCATCAGGTACATGAGGCAGCCAACAAGCTCTGGGTACGGGTCACTCGACTCTACGGACTCATCCGAAGGCAGAGCTGAGAGCGAGTGGCGAGTAGACAGAGGAGTGGCCTGAGGCGAGGAGTACGTGAAGCCGAAGCGCTGAAGGACCTGCTGCACCATGTGTGACTGAGTCAAGGTGATGGTGCGGCGTGCTCTGTCCCGAGTGATCTGCAAGCCAAGGTAGCTGCGCAGTTCACCCAGGTCTGTGCACGTGTGTCTCTTCTACAGCTCGGACTTCACGTAGGCGAGTCCAGCAATGTCAGCTGTGGCAAAGACCAAGTCGTCGACGTACACGAGGATGTAGAACGGCGGCAGAGAAGTGTCGGTGCGCAGAAACAACGACGGGTCAGCAGTAGAGGGAGCAAACCCAAGAGCCGCAAGCGTAGTCCTCAGTGTGTCGTGCCACTCACATGGTGCCTGGCGGAGACTGTAGACTGGCCGTCGGAGGCTCCACTGGGTGCCCGGAGGGAAAGTCCAAGTGAAGCCAGGTGGACGGCGCAGCCAGATCTCCTCGTGCAGGCTACCCTACAAGAACGCAGTGCTGAAGTCAAGAGAGTGGAGCTCGTGGTCGCGCTGAGCGGCTATGTGCAGCAGCACCCGAAGAGTGGTCATCTTTGGGGTGGGAGAGAAGGTCTGAAAGTAGTCAACTCCCTGCCGCTGACTAAAGCCACGAGCCACGTAACGCGCCTTGAAGACAGGTGGAGAGCCCGGCGGCCGCTTCACCCTAAAGATCCACATCCCACTTACGATGTTCGCCCCAGGAGGAGGAACCGCGTCAACGTAGGTGCCTCTGGACTTCCAGGAAGCCATCTCTGCATCCATAGCTGCCTGCCACCGAGAGGAGTAGGGACCCTCTACGGCCTCCGCGTAAGAGCGCGGAGTCGGGATGTCTAGTGCATCTGGGTCTCCCTCAGGGGCAAGCAGTACAGACGCGAGATGAGGTGAAGCAGCAGCCAGACACTGAAACTCCTCCTGCCTGTCCTCAAGGACGTCCGTGCCAAGAGCACACTCACCCCGGACGGACGGAGGACAGACAGACGCAGACTCAGCAACAAGACTAGCAGCGTAGTCTAGACGACAGCGAGCAGCAAAGTCGACGAGCTCAACAACAAGAGCAGACGCAGCAGTGGACTCAAAGGAGGGGTCAGTGGCGACAGTAGCAAGAAGACGCGTGATATTAGGACTGGCAGCACGAAGAGAGTCCGACTCAGGGTCGGCAAGCGCAGGAAGAGAGGACTCAGGAGGAGAGGGCAAAGGGGCACGCAGAGGAGCAGTGGACGGACGCAGACACATCCGGTGCGTGCCAGGGACAGGAGGAGGACGCTGACGCGAACTACGACCACTAGTGCGAGCAGTATGAACAGGCAACGCAGGACGAGACGCAGGCTCACGACGCTCAGCAAGACCTCCAGTAGGACCAGTGTAGGGAGAGGGAGAAGGCAGTGGGGAGGCCGGCGGTAACTGTGACTGCGACTGGACAGGCGGTGGACCCTCTAAGAGAGGAGGAAGTCCAAGAACCTGCTGAAGGAGCGGAACGAAGTACGGCCGAGGCCGCGCGGTGGCACCAGGCACAGCAGGGACAGCACCAGCACCTTCAGCACCTCCGGCAGCACCAGCGCCAACAGCACCTCCAGCGGCAGGACCTCCAGCAGCGCCAGCAGCACCCGCAGCACGACCACCACAAGGACGAACAGTAGTAGTCTCAGAACCAACACCCTCAGCAGCTCCAGCTCCAGGCGGACCCGCAGGCCTAGCAGCTTCGGGACCGGCGGCACCAGCACTCTCAGCGGCTCAAGAAGCGCCATTCCAGCAGTACGCCTCCAGCGGCGAGCAAACCACTCACGCAGCTCCTGTGGAGAGAGTGGCTCCCGCCGAGACGAAACACCCGGAGAACCTCCAGGCCCAGTACCGCCAGACGCCACAAGGGGAAGTCCAGTGGCCACAGGCTCCACACCTCCAGGCTCAGCAACTCCAGACGCAGCACCCCCAGGCTCAGCACCCTCAAGCTCAGCACCTACCCGTGCAGCACCCTCAGAGTCAGCACCCCAAGGCTCAGCACCCCCAGAGACAGCACCCCCAGGCTCAGCACCCCCAGACTCAGCACCCCCGAAGTCAGCACCCCCAGTCTCAGCACCCCCAGAGTCAGCACCCCAAGGCTCAGCACCCCCAGAGACAGCACCCCCAGGCTCAGCACCCCCAGACTCAGCACCCCCAGAGTCAGCACCCCCAGACTCAGCACCCCCAGAGTCAGCACCCCAAGGCTCAGCACCCCCACGCTCAGCACCCCCAGCAGTACCTGAGTCACCAGCAACCTCGACCGGCTCGACTGCATCTACCTGGGACACACGTGAAGGGGCAGGACCCTGAGGGGGAAGGGGGTCTACCGGGGGGGGACCTGGCACAAGGAAGTGCGGTGGCGGTGGGAGGGAAGGAATGCGGTAGGGGAAGAGGCGGTAGAAGGGGACGGACTCGTCGAACGTGACGTCCTGGGAGGACAGAACACGACGAGAGGAGGGGTGGAAGAACTGCCACCCTGGGGCGTCAGGGGGGAAGCCTAGGAAGACACAGGGAGCAGCACGAGGGGACAGCTTGTCCGCAGACAGGTCGCGGACAAACGCCCGAGATCCCCAGACACGGAACGAAGACGCATCGCCTACCTTCCCCGTCCACAGCAGAGCTGGGGAGGTCTCCGGCCGGGAGACTCTGGGGTGAAGGTTGAGCTGATGCGCCGCGTACCTCACCGCAAACGGCCACAGAAAATGGGGGGCAGCCGCATGCATCATGGACGTACGAGCGACGTCCATGACCATGCCAATGCGGCGCTTAGCAATCCCATTTTGCTGTGGAGAGTCCGGAAGCGTGAAGGTCTGGCGGATGCCCCGTGCAAGACAGTAGGCTCGCAGAAGGCCAGAGGAGAACTCTCCGCCTCGGTCAGAGTGCAGACGCAGAACAGGAAAGTCCGAGCCAAAGCTCCTCCTGAGCTGGAGACGAGCCGCGCGGATCCAGTCGATCAACACCTCAGAGACATCAGCCTTGCTACGCAAGGGGAAGACTGTGGTGTAACGCGAGTAGTCGTCAACCACCAGCAGGAAGTAGCGCTCGTGACCCTGTCCACGGACGCGGGCTGGGCCCCACACGTCCATGTGAAGCGTCTGCAGAGGAGCCTCTGTCGGGGGGAACAGGGAGGAGTGAGGGGCAGCCCAGAGCCGCCCCTCGACACAGGGGACACAAGAAGGTCCTGGCCCCGAAGGAAGGGGAGGGAGAGACCGGGGGAGACCAGAGACAAGGACACGGGAAGCCATGCCCCGAAGACGAGGGAAGGAGGGGTGGCCAAGACGGTGGTGCCACAAGAGAGTCTCGTGAGACAGGAGGCGACACGA